ACGGAATGGCTTCCATTTCACGCCTGTCTTCTGTGTGGTCGTGGTATTACACTGGGCGTGCCGGCCCTGCAGTGCTAAGACGTTAAAGCGGGCACTACAACTATAGATATGTGTCTCTTGCTTAAATGAGAGTTTAGATGAATGGATGTTGTTGTTTATATCTCCAGAACGGTTAAGCAGTTCTCGTTAAAATTTAGTATATATGTAGGATATATTCTGGAAGAACACATAAGCTACTAATTAAGTTTTTAATTCTGCATAGACGTAGTCGCTCAATTTAGACAATAACTAATAGGTAGTTCGGTCTATAGGTATAATAAAACGTTGTTTTTTGCTTGTTGTAGTAAGCTGGCGCGCGAGGCGGAGGCGAAGATGGAGGCGGTGCACCCGCCGCTGTTCCTGCGCTTCGTCAACCTGCTCATCAACGACGCCATCTTCCTACTGGACGAGGCGCTCAACAACATGGCGCAGATACGCAAGCTGCAGACCCTGCAGTCAGTATACCACACACTTTATACCATATCATACGTATAATCATACTAATATTATAAATGCGAATCTTTGTTAGAGTTTGTAGCTGAACCGCTGAACGGATGTCGATGAAATTTGGCATAGATGTAGAGAATGGTCTGGAAGCATACATTTTTTTTATTCCATGTAGAAGGAGTCGCAAGTAGTGAAAATTAAATATATTAACGTTTATTCAGTGTTTACTCATACACAAGTGATTTTTGTCATGTCACTAATATTATAAACTAGCTTACGCCCGCGACTCTGTAATAATCTCTATAAAAATACTAATAGTACCTTGACGGAGTTTATGCGACAGTAATAAGTGTAAATATAATATTTCAGAGTATCAGATGAGTGGAAGACCATCCCAGCGCAGGAGCGGGAGCAGATACTGTCCAACTTGTCCCACATTGGGATGCTGGCGCGCTTCGACAACATCCTGGGACGCGACACCGTGCGCACGCTGGTGCGGCTCACCGCGCACGCGCCCTACCTCTTCTGCCATCCCACGCTCGTCGACCGCATCGCATCCATGCTTAACTACTTCTTACTACACCTCGTTGGACCTAATAAGAAGAATTTTAAGGTTTGATCATTTAAAATTTTCACTAACAAATATTCATTTCATTGCTGTTTCTGTGTCACCCGCATTTACTACACTCTCGCAACCTTGATCAAAGAATGAAAGATTTGTATGATGGAAGCTTTAATTTTTAGAAAATAAATGTTGCGATTTTAAAAATACATAAAGTTAAATTGGTGGAGTAGTTTCAACTCCAGAAAATCACTATGTAATTGCCACCCAATTCAACATACAAAAAAACTGTGGGTACAACACAAGTATGGTTTTGTGATAGTATATTTTAAGTACCTATGTTTTTATTTATGTTACAGTTTGTTAGAATTAATTAAACTTAATTCAGATATAGTCTTCATATATCTTGATAGTTCTAAACTTTACGAGCCATTCTTCAAAAAACAATTTTAGGTATAAGATGTAAATGAATGTAGAAGGAGGGTACTTCGCAGCCTGCCGATGACTTTGAATAACCAAGATAATTAAAAACCATAGTAGTATAATTTTTACTAATAGTCTTCTATATTTCTATAATAAAGCATGTTTCCAGGTGAAAGACATGAAGGAGTTCGAGTTCGAGCCGGCCAACACGGTGATGGACATCTGCCGCATGTACGTGGAGCTGGGCGGCAACGAGCGCTTCTGCGCCGCGGTCTCCGACGACGGCAGGTCCTACTCGCCGCAGCTATTCTCACTAGCTGAAACTGTCCTAGGTAAAACTTAAAATATCTGTATGTAATATTAAAAAAAAATACATTCTACATGAGAATTGTCTAATTTGTAAACATTTCTTACGTATGTTACCTGTAATATCCGAAACGGTTAGACCAATTTTGTCGGAACTTTAATGGAAAGGTAGCTGATGAACGCAGAATAGTTATAGTTAATTTTTTATTTTATAATTTGTTAATTTTTTATTTTATAATTTTTATTTTACAATAAAGTATTTTAAATGATTGTTAAACATATGGAAGTCCCAAATCGATATGCTAACCAGTATGTTGCTCACTGAAGACGTAGCTTTTTAATGGTGAAAGAATTTTTGAAATCAGCCCAGTAGTTTTTGAGTTATTTCAATACATATAAAAATACAAATCATTCCTTTTTATAGAAGTAACAGCGCTAGTTTTAACAGTGGTAGTGCCCGCTTTAATATCTTAGCACTGCAGGGCCGGCACGCCCGGTGTAATACCACGACCACACAGAAGACAGGCGTGAAATGGAAACAATTCCTAGTTTCGTCTGGTGAGTGAGGTGCCGGACGCCTAATTTTAGTCCCTTTCTCTTTACCACCCTTTTATTACAAGAAGAGAATTGGTAGAGGAAGTGGATTTGACAGTGGAGGGGATGCATAGGAAGGGGAAATATCCCCTTTATGTGCGTCTCCTCCGCCGTCGGATAAGGGTAGGCAACGCATCTGCAATTGCGGATGTCTATGGGCAGCGGTTGCTTCGCCATTTTGGCGGATTCAGGTGGCCGCTTGCTAGTTTGCCACCTTATGTTATAAAAAAAAAAAAAAGTATAAAGTATCCGTGTTGGTGTTCCAGTGCGCATCGGCGGCGGCGGTCTGATCAGCTCGCTGCAGGAGGTGTCGGCGCGCGTGGCGGCGCTGGCGGTGCAGCGGCGGCGCGACGAGGAGCTGCTTGCCAACGCGCCAGACGACTTCCTCGACCCCATTATGAGCACCCTCATGCTGGACCCAGTGCTGCTGCCCAGCTCGCGCACCACCGTCGACCGCACCACCATCGCCAGGTACATCTTACTTCATGTTATAAATGTCAAAGTTTAGATGGATGGATGGATGTTACAGGTTGTAGTCTGAACGGCTGAACTGATTTATATGAATTTTGGTATAGATGTAACGGATAGTCCGAAAAAACATATAGGCTACTTACTTTTGTTTTTTTAATTCCAGGCGGACGAAGTCGCGTGCAAAATCTAGTCTATATATAATTTAATTTATACTAATATAATAAAACGTTAACACACTTTGTTAAGTAGGACTGCAGTAAACACAGCATATCTACACTTCTATATTAACTTCTATAAAGAGCTTAAATGCACAATACTTGGTTACGTAGGATGTTAGTAATCACAGTATGTTTTTGAATAATCTTTTTTAAATAAAAAGCCCTACACTTACATGCTTTAGGCTATATATTTTCACGCTGTTAATCTTTGGGAGTAAATAATTTGGATAAAATCATCATGCGGTAAAGGGACAAAAATTGTACCTTAAAGAACATCAAAGAAACATTGCCATGGTAAATTTAATTGTTATCCAATGTGTCGTAAGTATAGGACTTTTATTAAAAAAAAGAATTATTTAAAAATAAACTGTGATTGCTGACATCCTATGTAATTAAATACGAATTGCACTAAATCAAATTATTATTACTTTTCAGACATCTTCTGAGTGATCAATCCGATCCATTTAACCGTTCTCCGCTATCCATGGACCAAGTGAAGTCCAACACTGAACTAAAGGAGAGAATCCATAAATGGATCGCGGAACAGAGGATGAAGATTGCTCAAACTGAACCAAGTACCTCCGAATCTTAATCATCTTTTATCTTTAAGAATTCATACATCACAAAAGGAATAGGCAGACTACTATAACTTTGTGTTCTAAACAAAAAAATGTTGTATTTTGGTTTTCATCTCTGTTCGCATTTAATTTTCAGTTAAAAACCCCGTTATTCATTAATGCATTTGTTTATTATAAAAGTCTATCTACAAAATTGTTTTTGGTTCAATCTATTTATTTACAAATAAAAGAGAAGTGTTTGTGTTTACGGTACTTTTTTTGTCTGCAAGCCCATGTTTGTTCCAAGTATTCTCTGAAACGGCTGGACCGATTTTTACGGGACTTAAATAAAGTAACCCATATATCCAGGAGTAATATAAGTTTATTAAATTTTGCACGCAAGGTTTTATTTTGAAGTATCTTTAGAGAATTTGTGAATTTAATATTCATCTCCATGAGGACGAAGTTGCGGGCAACAGTTAGATTAAACCCAACATAATATAATTATGGTGTAATAATTATTATATTCGTAGTGTTTCCATGTTAATAAGCACTATTGTTTGCTTTATTACTATTATTTTACCATTAAACTATTAAATAATTTTGAAATTGATGTACGTCACCATGGGTTTTTAAAAATTTATTGGTTATAATGGCTTATACCTTTGTTTTTCGTCTAAATTATAATTATATTATGTACTTTATGCTATTGTTATTTTAAGTGGCTACTATTTGAAAGTGATTGCTTTTCTTTTATGTTTTTATTCCCTTGAAATTCAATAATGAAAGGGATGATGTCTTCTTGGTGTCATATTGTAGACTCACCCTTATTAAGGTGAGAACATAATGGTGTAAACATAAGAAATTATATTGATAAGTATTGTAGAAGTGAAAATGCGGTTTGTGTTTATTATATTTATTTATGTATTTTAAGTTTCTTATGTACATAAAATACAATACCACCTGTATGAAAAGACATAAAGATATATTGTGCTTGATCTTTATTAGAAAGGAGAAATTTAAAATTATGTACAGTATTTGATTATACTGTGAGTTTCCACTGCCTTAACAATACAATATTTGTATATCTATATTTTCATGAAAATAAGTGGGATAAAAGTATAATTTTCTATAACGTGAACAGGAATATAAAAAAACTTCGCCATATTGAGAAAAAAAAATCATAAACCAAACGTGATCCAATAAGAAAGCCGATTGCGTAACCACAAGCCAAGATTTTTATATTGTTGGTAAGTCTGTGTATGATTTTCGACAGTCGAACTTATGTTTATTAAAACAAGATTTATAAAAGCTTGACTTGAAATAAACTAAGTACAGTTATTATTTTATGTATTTAATTAGCGAAAGGTATTACTTATTTACTGTCTTATACTTCATAAAAGGGTTTGGGTAAAAGGCGACCTGGTGAACTATTTTCAATTACAATTATTGATTAACTAAAATATTGATGTCAAAAATAATATAGTGAATCAATAAATTAAGTGTTACAAGCGCCTAGTGCGGTGCTTTGTCATCACACCCAAATGATTTATGACAAAGGCGAATAACAGAATCATTATCAACTAAACAATATGTCTTAAATAAACCCCACCACATGAACATTTAACCAAGCAATTTATTCAACTTGATGGAAAAACATCCCATAATTTACGTTATTATTTGTGATATTTGTTTTTTATTCATAGTTAAAATTAAGTTAATATAATTTTATTTCTATGTAGACATCTTATTTTAGGTCATATATGTTATTGTTAAATTTTTCTTGGTTGTTATTCGGTTACACTTTATTCAATATGAAATATCTTTAACAATTATGTATAATCATTCCAATGTGAACAAATGTGTCATGAATCAGTGTATTAGGCACTGTTTGGAATGTTTAATAAATTATAATAATATCTAGTTATGTGTTTATTTTTTTATTCCTTGATATATAAAAGGCACAAACAGTAGTGGAGCTCTAACATCCGTTCCTGAGAGAACTCGTGAAATGTAACGATCTCTTGGCAGATAGGCGTGAAGTTTTCTGAATAATTTGGTGGAAAAACTGCAGCCCTTCAGGTCAAGCAGCTTCTGAACCTAAAAAACTAAAAAGCACTTTTTTAAACAAAATACTATTGTTACAAAAATAAAACAATTGTTATACATCATTTTCATTTACTTTTACAGTAAGTTATGGAGCATACATGAATATACAAATGAGTTTATTAGAGGAAGTTTGAGAGTGGCTCCAGTGGTAGTCAAATTAAGGAGAGTAAGGTTAGCATGTTAGGAGGGATGAATCGCATGTTATGCAGTGTTATTTAAGAAGAACGTTAGTTTGAGTGTGCAGAGGTACACCGGTGAGGTAGACCTGGAAAGAGACGGATGGAATGGGTGAAAGGTGATATGTTTAAGAAGGATGTGATGACTAAGAGGTAAGAGGACGGATAATGAGTTATGTGCTTGACAAAAACCTGTTGCGCCGACCTTATGGGAGTACGATAAGGAAGATGATGATGATGATGACAAATATTTTATCAAATATTATAACTATTAAAGAAATGAACGATTTTTCAATTTGTTTATGGATTCCTATTTATTGGCATATAAAATATTTTTGTTTACACCTTTCTAGCAACATTTCACATAGCCAAATTGATAAACTAACTATAGATAATCCGTCATGGCGGAGTAATCAGCTGTTAATTGCAATGCCAACGAGTAGTTATAAATTGTTTCGTTTTAGTCAGTAGGACGCAATTTTTAATGTTATTTTGTTTTTCTTTGTTGCTTAGATAAGAGTTACCTTTAAAATTAATGGTATGAAGAGAATCAAGGAATGGCGCGATGTCCCATGTCATCTGTCAGATTTATTCATTCATCCATTGTAGTGCAGAAAAAATGTGACTAGTTTGATAGAATTCTGTTTTATCATATAAGTGCGACACGAACACCGCGTACGATGACTTTATAGTCTCCAATAGTGTAACAGACTTACCGGTTATTGGATCGTATACTTATAAGATAGCAGCTGCACGTAACACAGTTGATTTCCAGGGCCTAACAATTCCCTCTACAAAGAAGCCGTGCGGCGTCCTCGGTGTGTAATATTTTGTTGGACGCTGGTGTTTTGTGAACTTTAATGTTGTTTTAAGTGTTATCACAAAGTGTATAAAACCGTGAAACTTTAAAAGAAAAGAAGATGTCGGGCCGTGTTCGGAAACAATCAGACTGTCCAGTCAGCAAGCAGGGGCCGATGAGAGCAACCCTGCCCGTGTCTTCAGTGATGAAACAGAGTGGTGGATTTAAGAAAAATTCTGGTAATAGTCCGACCCTGTCACCTACGAACGTTTGGCGTCGAATATCACCTGACCATGCACTTTCTGGTCAACGCAGTCCTGGTGCTGTCAATTACAAAGGTTTGTGAATTTGCTAAATTTATTATTTGAAATGTTAGTTTTTGCATATTTGTTTAGTAAATACTTACTTAAATGTATGTTAATAAATGTTTATAACGTAAACATGAATTAAATAACATTATAGGTAAAGGAAGGTTTGGTGCAAGTGTAATCAGACGAACAGCATCCCTTGATACTCTCTATCACAAAGGACAATGGTCTAGAGATTATTATCTGCATGCTGGTCAACTACAAGTTGATAAATCAACTCAAGTAAGACTACTCACAATACTATAATTTCTTTATTTGACTTTTACATGTTTGTGTTACCAGTTACTGTGAATTTTATATACCTGTTGGTCCATTAGGTAAAAGTAACTATCTGTGGTTGTGATTGTTTTAACCCTTTTTGGACCAACTGTATTTATTAAGCATGTTTTTTACGGACTTCTTTGTTATTTAGCTATATAGATATTGATTTTCATTGTTCATATACCAAATATGAAGTGTATTTCACGAAAGTATGCAGTTTAAAACATGTTTGTGCACTGTAAATCTGAGGGTGCATCTTTGTATTGTATTTTGTTATCTGTAATTTACAGTATGTTTTAATAATATTGTGTTTCGCCACTACATATATTTTTACATTGTGTAGACTGATGAAGGTGGTGGAGCATCTGGTCGTTCATCGAGAGGCTCTGAGGATGATAAGCTGGATCGATTCCTGCGCAGTCGTCTACAGAGACCACATAAGGCTTCCGCATCTGGAGATTTCTCTGGCAACACAATGAGCCCTGGATTTTGTAAGTGTCATGCATAGGTTTCTATTATTATTAGGTGTTGTTGCAAATTGTCCACATGAAATTAAAAAATTTAGCCTATGTTACTCACTGATAATGTAGCTTTTTAATGGTCAAATATTTTTGAAATTGGATAAGTAATTTTTGAGTTATCTCAATACAAACAAAAACACAAATCTTTCCCCTTTAATATTATATTAGTATAGATGTTTATTTCTTTTTTGTTGCTTCAACTGCCTTTTAATGCCCAATATTGGACACTGAGTTGTAATTTTTTTTATTATGAGATATGAAATCCAGTTACACTTTTTTTTCTAATTTTAACACAACATTTTAGATTTGTCTAACCTTACACAAAATCCATAACTTAAATATATGAGTTAAATACACTTAACATCAAGTATATTTGTAGAATTTAATATAACTATAATAATTATTTTTTAATTTGCAAAGGGTCTCGGTTTGGAACCGGCGGTGTACCGCTTAGGGCAGCTCGTTCATCAGTTGAGGGACTAAATCAAGAGATTGAACGGATTGTCCTATGCCCGGCCAGCGGCACTCAGACTCCACATCTTGATCGGCTACGAGATAAGGTGACTTATTTAAATTGAATGTAACTTTCAATATGACGAAATACCTCAATTTCATAATTCCTGGTGTGTAAATCTTATAAATATAGATTTTTGACTAATCTATATTGCGAGTATCTCAAAGGTCCATCCATGCAATGTCTTCTAACTAATTTAAGTTTGTGTCTATTTCATTAGTTTCTTATTCAAGTTTCTTTTAGATGAATAATATTTATTCCAGGTGACACCAGAGGGCCATCGTGCTCCACTCGCGGAATTACTACGACGCTCCGTAAATACACAGACCCCGCATGATCTCTGTCATACGGCCCATTCCTCAGGTGAATACCTTTAATTACAACACATACACATATGCTGCTGTTGTATACATTTCTGTTATCTACTGTTAATACCAAACATTTTTCCGATCTATGGATTATATTTGCATTTTCTATTCTTCTGACCCTTAACTGTTTTCTTATGCATTGAAATGTTTGTACTCCAATTGTTATTGCCCACCTGTTGCATATGTTTTAATAAAAAGCTATCCACTTTCTCTATTCTTTTAATGATGATAAGAATTAAATCAAGAGTGTAAGTTAAATCAAAGGTGTACAATAAAAAAACGTTGTTTGACCGATCCCAAAATTATAATTTAGTAACTTAATTTATGGAAGGCTGTTAGTCTATGTTGTTTAAATGTTGTAGAGATGTAGTTGATAGAAAATGTGCTTTATTAAATATGACAAGTAACAAACTGGCTTGTGGGCATAGATCCTCCATCGCGAGGGTCACTCTCCAGTGCGGGCTCCGCGGAGCTACTAGCAGCAGGTCTATAAAGAAACATACTGCTTAATGATAACCCCTCGCAATTCAGACTAGACTTACATGCACCGTACATACACCTTTATACCCGCATGTCCATACTGTTTATTTGCTTTTACGACTGTCAAATGTAATTTCTTGAGTATGTATGTCCATTGTGACATCTAATGGCTAAATGTCATTTTCATATTCTTTAGTGGCATATTGTCAGTCGGTTTTTTTATGGATTATTGCTTGTTATTAGATGATAAATGAATTTTTGCCAACGATAATTCTCTGGCTTGTTAATTGAAAGACTGGATGATATACAAAATTGGGGACAAGGGTTACGAGGTTTGTGGAAGATAATTGTTTATTTTTTAAATATAGCAACAATGATTGGCAACTGTCTTCAAGCAAATAAGTCAGGCCAGAGGAATATATTTAGTGTTATTAATTATTAATTCCATTACATCATTCATTTGCTTTTTGAAGTGAATAATTTGGTTTTTGTTTGTTTTTTAGTATAAGGCAAGTGAGTTATTTAATTTTAATATTGTTTCTTATTGTCCTTCCAGGTGGCAGTGTTTGCTCATCCCCTGATCTAGACGGATCAAAACTCGGCACTTCGCCGCAGATAAACCGATTTTTGGCTCGTGAACCTCCCGATGGTTGTGAGAAGGTATTTATTTTATTTACCTATTCTATGAATATTTCGCAAAAGTATGTGCCGGAAGAATTATTTTAGTGCTCTACCCCTTGTCGAGTTTTTGTGTTTCCCCCCTGCCTTTAAAGAAAAAAAATCAAATTGAGAATCAATCATTACAAATGTCATAATATAATTTATTTTACTTTTCTTTATATCATAGCCATTGTTGTTCTGAGTTATATTAATATTTACTTAGTAAGTAATATTCTTCCAGACCATAGAACGTATTCTGCATCTATGCCAAATTGTATCCATATCCCTTAAGCTGTTTTAGAGATATTTAGTATCAAATATCCATCCCTCCATCCATCCAAGTATGAATATATTATGCAAAATTGTTTACCAAACTTGTGAATATAGAATCTATACACATGTCACTTATAATTCCGCAGGTGAACCTGAAGGCCGGCGAGGGCGCGTACACGGAGGCGATGATGATGAAGCCGAGCGTGGCTGGCTTCACGCTGCGGCCCTCGCTCGGCTCCGCCTTCCAGCCGCTGCAGCCCGCCCCCGCCTCCGCCCCCTCGCCGCCACCCGCCTCCGCCTCCGCCTCCGCCTCCCCCACGCACTGACTCCACAGGTACCCTGTACTCTGGATAAAATGCTAATAGAAAATACACATGTTTAAGAGCCCTAACCTCAAAACACCTAAACTGGTGTAAACCAGTTTTTACTTGAATTCAGTGGTAATAAGAAATTATAACAAACACATCTAAATATACGTAAGCTGTAATTACAGACTTATTAAAAAAAGTCTTTAAAACAAATTCACAGACAAAAAATTACCTTGTCCAGCCAGTGATGTATATATAATATCTCATTTCCATCGAATTGTAACACAAAAGGTTTTGACAATGTTAATGTTATTTTTTAAATAATTTAAACCAATAACTTTCCTTGTATCTAGCAATATGTACAGCGGAAATATTGGTTAGGGAGAATATGTAAAAAACTCTTATTAGCATTTTATTCAGGTTACAACTTTACAATACAGTTTGGAGTATACGCCGATGTGACACTACATATGACAGTGTTGCCTGTTAAAATATTTGACTGGCAATACTATGTATTTTGTGAAGAACATCTTAATCTTGATACATTTGTGACTTTTTAATGGAATATTGCTGTATTGATATTGAGAATAATTTTATATTTAAAATGTTTTTTCACTTCAGCAAAGTTGATCAAGATTAGGATGTCATTGCGAAATAACTCGACTTAGTATGTCAATTTTCCTTATTTCTATTGAGTAGTTTAGTTTTATTTAATAAATATATGGGAGATTTAAAAATATATGACGAAACAGAAGAGAATTAGGCATATCAACTTACTGAGAGATTGTTCAATTAGATACAAATGTTATAAATTACTTTCAAAAAGTTTAACAAGTAAAATATAATCGGTTTTATATTTTTGTTCTTCATAACTAACTTAGTATTATTGTAAAATACCCGCCGAGATTATGTTGTCTGAAGTTAGTAATATATCATTGCAGCGTAAAATATAAAGATTTATTCCGTCTCTTTCGCACATTTAGCTTTCGTATGTTTGTCTCATTCTTTGTCAACGCGCGATATATTTTAACGGCGAACTTTATCATAACAACTGAACACACGAACACAAGAATATTGCCATCTCACTCATTTACTTTAGATTTTAAAGAGATAACAGTAGTCTTATTCATACATATACGATAGTTATACACGCTAACTTCAGAGACTCAAAGATCTATGGCAGGTATTATAAGTAGTTGTGAATAATTTAAAATTCGATGGCTCCTATATAAACTATCGTAAGTCACAATTTTGCGATTGGTAACTTGTTTTGTGTTTTTTGAATACAAATTTCTGTATTAATTTTTGTTGTAATCTTAGAAAGAAAAAGAAATGTAAATATTCGTCTGCTGTATCTTTAACGTAATTAATCGTATAAATAGTTGACTGTCTTACAAAATTTGCGTTTCAAACATATAATAGTTTACATAGGAACCATTGCGATGTGCTTATGCTTTTAATTTCCTGTTTGTGAACGAACTGTTTACATAAAAAGTTGGTACTCAATAGAAGTAATGGAACACGAAACCTGACAAAATTGCAGTGCTAATGTTTCATATACATCCACATCAAAGTCTGATTAGAATCGTTTTTTAAAGTAAATGTATAGTATTTTTATGGCTTGTGCATTAAATTGTGAAGTTATTTTATAAAAGAACATCTTATTTAGACATGCGACAAGTAATTCCGCTTGTAATTGAAATTTTATAGGACAATTTTTAAAATTCCGCGTTCATACATTTTTACATTATTAATTTTTACCAACCACAAAGTATGTAAGAAACATCCCTAAGCAAACCAAGATACTAATGAGTTAAGCTGATTCTAGCCATATTTATCTTAAATTTTGACTGCATGTGAGATTTATGAGGACATGGAAAATTGAATCTGTAACAATTAAACTAGCATCTTAAAAAATGTTGACTAACGAAAGTCTGAAAAGTAAAGAGATATACCATTTTGATATACTTAAAATTCGTACATTTGACACGTAACTTTGATGACGTCACAATGCTTTGTGCAAAGTTTACGAAATAAAATCTAACGAGACTTAAATGATAGTTTACTTCGTGGCTTGTAGACGCTGGAGAGATCAGTGGATGGACACATTCTGTACAAATATCTTGTTAACGTGTAATGTTTTATTTTATGGCCTAACCAGGAATATAAAAATCTTGACATTTTCTCATGTCGAGGATTTTTATATTCATTGTCAAGCTGTAATATTCATTAGCACTGCAAACTAGTTATATCAAAGAAAGTAAATTATACTCGATGTATAGAATTGTTAGTACGTTAAAATGGATGTTATATTTGCCATCTTTAATCAGTAGTGACAATAATAATCGTAATAAGTTTTAATTTCCATTGAATCGGTGTGTGGAATTTATTGAGCGCAAGGGTGTTGTATGACGATGTCCATTGCACACCATAGCAACATGCCAGTTACGTCACAACTTATTTATATAATCTGACAAATAAAACCAAAGCAATCTTTATTTTACAGAATTAGTTTATTTCTAAAATGTGTTTGGTTAATAACATATTCCGGATGTATATTTTTGTTACAAAAATAATTGTAAACATCTCGAGTTTTCAAACTTGAGATTATTTTTCTAGACGTCTAATTGTTTTTTTCATCGGTTACTCATATTTTTCGAACGGAATGTCAGGTGACGGAATATTTGTTTGATCTCATATATTTTTAAAATATGTACATAATCTCATATTTACTGCGGAAGCTAATCCTCTCTCTAGGTTTTCATTTTACTCTTGAATGATTTGACGTTTACCATTGATTATAGAGAGAAAAAATTGGACCAAAATTTTTAAGGGTCGTAAGGGATGTATTAAAATGTGACGACTATACGATTGTTAGGCTGATTTTGTAAACGGAGATAGCTTTAAATACGCGGGGACTCGGAGGAAAGCGTTAAGAGGATAGACTGATAATTTTAAAACCATACTCATACTTTCGATACAGGTGACTTGACAAATATTTGAATTTTTAATGTATTACAACGTATGTACGGCTGCTGTATGTTTTTATCGTATGAAATCGTTAGTACAAACACACATATTAAAAGATATTTCCAGAAACTTGTTATACTACGCTTTAGATCGAAGGAAGTATTATTTGAAATGATGTCGTGTACAAAATAATTATTTAAATGTTTATCATTTGGGAAACTTAGAGCCGTGGTCTGCGCCGGCACGACACGTCACGTCAAGTATCTGTATCGGGTATAACGGACACACGGTGTTTGGTTGACGTATAGTGACCGGCGACTACGGCTGGTAACGAAGGAAAGAAATATTGACGAATGACAAAATGAACATAAATCTAAGTGACACAAGGTACAGTCACCTCACGCTCTAACCGTATGTATCCAGGCAAAATGACGTAAGTAAATTTTCAGAGATTCGCCGGCCACTATATAATATCGTTTGTTTAGGGAAAGAATGGACCATGCCAATTGGATCTCTCATTTTGGCCAAAATGCATTTTTATCATCGAGACTGATAATGTAGAAAGTTGAAAACGTAGTTAGATCTGCTTTATTATTTTGTAACGTTTTGTAAAAATTCGACGGCAAATATATATTTTTGACGGCTCACCTTTGGAGTATAGAGTATTTTAAATCATAACATTGCTCAAATCAAAATTATATCGAGAGCCACACTTATTATAAACCAATGCCGAATTTGAAAAATGTAAACATTGTGATTGTAAAACTTTCAAGTTGCTGCTATATGTATATATTCATTATTATTGTATATGTATCTATTAATTATTTATTCAATAAACGAATGTGATATGTAAGTGAATCATTTGTAAGCTTGAGATGGTTGCTTTACAACTTCGGTACAGGTGTCAACTTCATGAAGTATATACAAGAAAGTAAACTCCCACAACAAACAGCTAACATACTGTAACCAATAAGAATATCTAGTGTAAAAGATTTTTTTGTAAACTAAACTATTTTTTGTGTGGACAAAACTACTACAAAAGAAAATATTGTAAAATCCATATAAATCTAATTACAAGTTAGGTATGCAAACAACCATTCCCAGTCTGATTAGAGTTTAGGGGTTATGCATGTTCTTCCTTGTATATACTCCTCGGATAAAGAAGTTGGTGATATAAGAGCTGCCAGGTTGTGCCTGCGACTGTACCGAGCGCGTCAGTTGTAGAGCGTGTTGGTGCTGATGATTGAGGGAAGTCGCCGGCTTGTGGCACGCAAGGACGTATTTACGCTAATTATAACGCATTTATTTTTCGACTACTCAGTAAACTTGAAATAACGACAAAACAGTGCTTAGGAAGACATATTGTACAAATGAATTAGTACGTTTTTGTAAACCGGTCGGCTGGTTAACGGAAACGACATTAGTATTACGACGCCAGTTTTACTCACACATTCATCAGTAGGATATGTAATAAATACGCTGCGCAAAAATCGAAATCATTAAATATGGAATATTAACCGAGCCAGTATTCAGTAAAATCCGGATTTCTGTGTAGTTTTTCTCAGATAAGTGCAATATCTAGCTGTAACTATGAAGTAATGTAGGGAACCGTGTACATCGTCACCCTCGACTGTTTACTTTGCCCTTCTCGTATCATTGTTTAGTTGCGCGCGACCGCACTCGCGCTGCTTGTCTGCTTCAGTGGCGCATGTAGTCTCCCCACGCGATCCGAAACAACTACTATGCTTTACTCGACTACCTTAATACATACAATACTTAGATTTACGTCACAGGTCCAGGTTGTAATTTAGGATTTATCTTTCCGAATGTCGTTACCTAAGTTAAGGTTTAGTAAGTTTTAGGTGACCCGAAAATATGTTAGATGTTAATAAATGTGTGCTATAAAACGGTCCCTTTACTGATTGATTTACTAGAGCCACGCGATGTGCACGAGGCCCGGGCGCAGGCGGCCTCGCCCGCGACGCTGCGACGCCGCGCCGCCGCCCACGCCCGGCCTTGACTTTTTAAAGTACATATTTTTGTATGTTCAGGGTAGGTTGCGAAATGTACCATAAGAGTAACTTTGCTAGTACCTTAGATTTTATAGTTCTTTTATAGATGGTTAACAAGTTTGCTTTTAGATGAATAAGTTTGTAAGTTTTATTACTACGATATTAGATTAAAATACTAACATTTAAACTAAACCAAAAGTGCCCATTGAGATAAGTTTATAAATCCGGCGAGTCTTTTGTTGGGCATTTTGTTAATAAATAATGTTTAGGCGACAAAATTAGAAATTAAGGAAATTATCGAAGGATTGTTGAGTTTTAGTTATCTAAAAATTGTTGAGGTTTATTGATAAAAAAATTCACTTAGTTTTTTTACATTTGGTGTCAAACAAAAGGCTCGCTCAGTTAGAGGCATTAATTAACATCAAATAATAATAGTATCGATTTTAAGTAATAATAAGAATGGTTTTATTATAGTTTTGTTTCAGAGAAGAAATTCTAATTACTATTTTTGTTTCCAATATTTTATCACTTTTACCTGTTTTCATTGTAATGTATCTTGCTGTATTGCAGACATATCCAATATACAGACTGATTTAACATTTCTCATCTTTTATTTCACCCCACTTCCCTGCATTTATCATTATTAAATGTAACAAAAATTGCAAATTCACTTTATGAACAAAGTTTTTTAAAGACTGATACTAGTGTTAGCTTTTTAACTATTTTTGATATATTCTGTATTCTTAAAAGTTATTTGTTAATCTGTGCTCAAATCATACATTTATCCTTATTTAAAACAACAATATTGTTAGGAAAATATTAGGAAACAGAAGGAATAGTGGGGAATAGTTTTATTACATATATGGCAAGGAGTGGCTCAGGCTCAGTCGCAGTCTCGGCGCACAGTCATCAACAAGCTCAGTGTTTTAATAGTCGTCACAACGGAACATTCGATATATTGCGTTGTCACATTGGAGTTCAGTTTGTGTTTTAAAGTAATTTACAAGTGTTGTTAACATGGCCATCCGTCTATAGTTTAAAGGAAGTCATTTGTAGAAATATCTAACACTAGTTTAACAGAAATTATGTGAACCTCAGTAGGATAAAGTATTATTGCTTATAGATATCTGATGTCCACATTTCTGTTGATACAAAAGTATGTAGGAATTTTTTGGAAGGCTTCAGAAAACTTATTTATTTATCTACTACAATGAAAACCATGATATTGATAACCAAAAATTTAATTAGAATATTTATATTGTATTTATTCAGTACTGTATGCTTCTTTTAGTTTGAATGTCATCAAGTAAGATCCGTAGCTCCTCGTCCTCAAATCTACCTTCCAGTGATGGAATTAAAGCTTTTGCTTCCTCTGGTGTTTCTGGACATAAGTTTGCTAAACTTGCTACTTCAAATTTGTGCAATTTCTTGGACTGCAAGAGGCTGAAAGTAAATATGGTACTGTTCAATTGTTTTGATAATTTAAGTGGAAGTCTATGGTCATCAATTGTTTAAATAAAAATATAATGATGTCATAACATTTAGATATTTTATTTACGTAAATACAAATGGTAATAGACAAATTCCAGGTTATAAAGTAAATGTTAACTATTAGAAAAATACATAATATTATTAAACAGTAAAAAAGAACTTACTTTCTAACAGCAGCTATTGTTTCCTTATTTTTAAATTTCTTAAACATATTAGTGTATGTCAATGTCTTCATAAATACTTCTGAAAATTCCTGCTCCTCTTCTGCTGATTCATTTTGTGCCTTCCTGTGTTCTAACAACATGTCCACTTCAGATATTAGTAAAGTTTCAGCATTTTCAAATTCTAAAATAAAGAATGGTATTATTATAAATTAAAAAAATCCGAATATTCTGCAATGCAAAAAGTATTACCTTTGGGAAATTGCAAATCGGCTGCATCTTCTTCCACAACATCTTGTATTGGGCACGACATTTTCAATAATTTCAGTTAAAATTGAAATATGACACTCTTGAAGATTATAACAAATGCAAAAGTTGAACTGAGCTATTAAATTGTTTAGTTATGATTCTTCTACAACATATATTTTGAAATCAGATAAATACTATAAATTATTATACAAAACATACAAATAGCGTTTTGGTTCAACTTTGACTTTGACGTGTTTTGTGTTTGACAGCCATTTTTTTTTAATAAATCTTTTGCGCAGATTAGGTTGAAGCCAAAGCCAACTTCTATAGTTTATGTCACTGGTTAAAGTAATTAAACAGAGCATTGAAGAAAAACATGATCGAATGTGCTAACTTTCCCCATCAAATATTTTAGTTTTATTAAGGTTTAAAGATTAATTTATGCTTAGGTTTCAGGTTTAGATGCCATATATTCCCACAAGTCTCTAGACTAAAGTGAATATGTCAAGACAAGTTGTCATTGTCAAAGTCACATTTTTGAGATATTCCCCAAAATAATTAATATTCAATAATCTCAAAGAAAAAATTGGTAAATTTTACCTTGCTTAGGATAAAGATAACACAAGATAGTTCTCGTTAAAGTAAGAAGGTTTGATGAAATAACACCAAAATGTCTAAATTACCCACGAAAACTTCCGAGTCGGTATTTTTTGGACCGAAAGGTATTTTATCATAAAATGTGTCTTAACCTTACCACATATGAATATAACTTATCCATTCCTAATTGTTTTTGTTTGTCATTTCAGAATTAACGCCAAACAAAGACCCTACGGGAGTAGTAAAAACTCTTTTTACGCAGATATCTAACATACATAGACTTTTAAATCAATGGTTTAGAGTTATTGAGAAAGGGACGGAATTCGTAAGATTAATATGTTCATTAAAATTACACGAGTATCGAGAAGATTATTACCCACAACAATTAAAAAGATTAATGGAGGATCTTGTGGAAGCTAAAAATGTACTGAAGGACATAGTTGAAAGTAAGACTATCTGCATGTTACTTACAATTTAATTAAAAGTCTAAAAAGAATAATTCTTGCCACAATATATCTATATTCAACATGCTTAAAGTAGTGAGTAGTTATTTTGTTTTTTATGTCGAACAAAAGTTAATGAAGTGTTATTATAATTATAGTATGTTTATTGTATTTCTTTTTATAGTAAGTGGCTCTACACCTATCTTCTATGTGGTTGTGATGTCACATCGGCTAAGTGGGCCGTTTATTTAGCTGCCAGTTATCTAGCAATCTTACAATAGTCAGTCAATGTTACTGTAAACACTTCCACTGTAATTCAATAATTGCTTTCTAAATTTGCACAACTTATTTTCTATTTTAGGTGTGGATATCATAAATAAACAAGTACAATTGTTACCAAAGCTGCATACAACAGGTTTGCCTGTAATGAACACATGGCAAGCACCACACTTTGCCGCTCAAGTACTGGCTTTGTACACATCATTGGGCCAGGAGTATGAACTCAAAGAAATTATTACAGGTAATTAAAATTAAAAAGTCAAATTGTATTGATATTGGGACAGTTTTATATGTGTAATATATATAGGACTGCAACATTATCAGTAAAAACTGGAGGTTTTGTCAAAACTGTATATTAATGCAATTGTAGACCAATAAGATATCTTACCCTTGAGGATAAGAGACTAGTATAGTATTGTATTATCTGTAGTGAAGTACTATAAATCACTAGTGGCAAACGCGCAAGCGGCCACCTAATCCACTGAAATAGAAAACGACCACTGCCCATTAACATCTGCAATTCCAGATGCATTGCCTACCTAAAGAAGACATTTCCCCCTCCTATACATTTCCTCCACCGTCAAATCCACTTTTCCCTCTCATCCTTTCCTCTTAAGAAAAGGGTGGAAAGGGAAAGGGACTCAAATTAGGCCTCCGGCACCATACTCATCAGATGAAACGCGGAATTGCTTCCACTTTACGCCTATTTTCTGTGTGGTCGTAGTATTGCACCGGGCAAGTCAGCCCATTCATGCAAATGTTGAAGAAGGCTCTAACACTGTTTGTTTCACTTTCTGTGTCTTTGTAGATTTTACATATATTTTAATAGTATTAAAAGCAATTCATATTTTCTTTATCATTCTCCAGATCAATCTTTTTCATTAATGTAGTCATTCCCCTATACAACAAAATGACATCGGCCTAACAAAATGCTTCTTGAGACCTTTGTTCCGCAATTATATAAACAGTTGTTAAATTTATTGCAGAAAACATTGCGCACTGCAGAGATGAGAAACTGATTGAAGTGTATGCAAGTGCATGGGAGTACACAATGTACATAAATACGGAATCTATTGTTTATATGTTTGCTGAAATGGGTTTGAGTAGTATTAAATAAGAAGTTTAGTAATCAACACTTTTTTTCTATGCACCATCTCCTAATCAATCTGGGTAATTTTAAAGTTACTAAATATGACGTAAAATTATTATCAACTTGTGGCAACGTATTGCTTAGTAAAATAAGTAGCTTAAATAAGCAGGAGATTCTGGGTAATTTCCAAAAAGTATGAATCAACTGACTCTTAGACTAAAAGGTAACTTATAAATACGTGTCGGAGTCACTTAGGCTATAATTATTTTTCATTCTGCACTGACGTAGCCGGTAACAACAGGTAGTGTTACATAAAATATTGTGTATGCCTATATTTATCTAATCCATTAATAAGATACTGAGAATGGCGCAAAAGTGGAGCGGGTTAAGTACGTAAGCATGTTTGAGGGTCGCGGATTGTCATTCATTGTTATTTTTTGCGTATACGGAAACCCTTGTTTCAAACCAAAGCCTGTATTGTCAGTAATCGATTTTTTGCCACGCGCTAAATGGTCCCTCAGACTTTTTATGGAAAAACTACTCTAACTTATAATTTAAATAAAATTAAATGCGAAACTATAAATTATTTTGTTCTTGAAAAATAAAACTAGTATCGAACAAAACTTTCCGCTTGACCTTTCTACATTTTCGTTTCTATTTTCAAAACAATTTACATTTAGTATAGCTTCGTATCCATGGAAACTAAAAAGCAAAACAACATCTAATTGTACGGGTTTTTTTAAGTGGTTCTACAAGAACGGAAATGACGATAATAGTCCTTATTAACATTAAACTTCTTACAACTAGTAATAATGTCCTTTACAACTAACAATTAATATTTCAACTTTTTTTTTCAATTTCATTTTACTAAAAAATGGCCTGCTTTTTTTCCCTTTCTCTATATACTTTAGTTTGACTTGCAACTCTGGATAGATAGGCTAAAAGTCAAGTTATGGACGATTTAAATGTTATCTTTTTATTTTTTAAAAACATGGAAATGTATGTTACCGTATTGAAACAAATTTTCAAAAGTGGATTTAAGAAGGGCTCCCGACTCCCGAGGCGAAAGGATCGCTATCCTGAAAATTGACCTAAATTCAATGTATTAGGAAGGAGCGTCGCGGGATGGCGGCCTTCATCATTTCACACCCAATTAACTTTTACACCGCAAATATAGGATTGGCAATGTTGACGCAATTTAACATAGTGTCATCTTTTTTTTTTTTTTATTCTTACAAGAAACAGTCAAATAAATATGAACGCACATAACAGTATGTTAAGAATATAAGATATATCAGGATTACAGAAGCAGTTAGTAGATTTAATTCAGACTTTTAGTTAAGAAAGTGCAGATTCACTATATCTCTAAACCGGGAGTTCGGAAATGTCCCAGTCGGGGTTTTTAAATATAGTCCATACTAGCTGTACCCCGCCGCTCCGTCTATGCAAAATAAAAGAAAATTGTACTCTAAATGTTCTGTTCTAAATCTTTACCAAAATTCAGCAAGATCCGTTGAGCTGTTCTGGATATAGTTAGTAACAAACATCCATCCTCTAAACTTTTGCATTTCTAGCAAGCAGTAAGATAGGTGAAAACTAAACCTTAGAGACTATCAATATATTTATACTAATGTTATAAAGAGAAAAGATTTAGATTTTTGTATGAATTAAAATAACTCACAAACTACTGGAAAAAAATCAAAAATTCTTGCACCATTAAAAAGCTATATCACTGAGTAATATAGGCTATATTTTTACTATTTTATTAATTTCACGTAGACAAAGTCGCGAGAAACAGCTTGTGTATCACATTTATTTGAATATTCATCATACGAACCTGACACATGGGAATCGTTACGTGGAATTTGATATTCGTGACAAATTGTTTGGTCCTAGACGCAATTGGGTTTAAGTAATACATCAGTGTCTCCGCGATTTATTTATTTTACGTCTTTCTACTTTTGCGTTTCGTCTTTCTAACAATAAATATCAAAAGATTGTCACAGATCATAGCTATAATATAAAACATTTTTTTTACTTTCATAATGGATTTAGGACATATAAAACAATGAAAATATCACTTGTTAGTTAAGCAAAATTTTCTCATTTATGGGAATTAAGTTAAAAGGAATTGCCTACATATTAAATATATCAAAATATATGTTAATGTTTTTATAAATAAAAAATCGTGATTATAAATATGACGTCAATTAGTAACCGATACATGTTAATAATTGCATCACGTCAACACGTTTTTTTGGCACGCAGTTTGGTTAAACTTGTGTCATTGTAGCAAACACATTTTTAACAATCAATCGAAAATAGTAATATCTCGACGTAACTCTTTTCGTCGTACGCATCAGATACAAAACTCAGTACAACATATACGGTAGCATTTTGCGTACTGAGAGAATTATTGTTTGCTTTCGTCGCGACTGCGAGTATGTAGATAGCTCCATTGTTTCCTAGTTAAGTCAACAGTCTCGACTTGATTTGTAAAATGCATGGAGAATTATTGCTAGTATTTCTTTCTATTATTATACGAACTCAATTTTATTGAACGAATTGTGTACCTACAATTTAGTAGGTACACAATTCGTTCAGTAGGTACAGTAACAGTGACTTGTACTTATTTGATAAATTTACTAAATCATGTTTTTTTAAATTACATGTACTGTATTACTAAAAAAAGGTATACTTCTCGCCAATGATTAAGTTTCCTGGTTATTCTTTGTATGGTTATAATTCTACGTAATTAACAATATTTTTAATAGGCCTGCAATCCATGTTTTGTTTCACAAATTTTATCTTTATAAAAATCTGAACTCAACGCGACTCTATCGGTTTCCTTGTTCTGCCGTCTAACGCAACCTATAATTTCGGTAAGCACTCAGTTTACATCATTTGCAAAGCGGTAACGATACGAAATACATTGAGCGGGCTTTCTTCGACAGCAAAAGTGCGAATTGTTTCATCTCTGCAGCAGAGATGTAGCCGAATAGCTAGCAGCCGACTAGTGCGGTAGTCAATGTAATAGTAGTTTTACAGAGTTTTCTTGTTATTTCGTAGTATAGTAATTGAGTAGCTTTTAGTCAATATCTATGTAGAAAAGTAACACCTTAAAAATCGCCTTGTACACTTAATTTTTTGCGCAAATTCAGCATCGTAACGGTTTGAGAAATGGGTCACCTCTTGAGAAGCGCTTACATCCTCGGCGTGGACAAGGATGATGAAGGTAACAAAAATATTCATTAATTTTTGTCATTTAAGCATTCTACCAAAATTGTGATTGTTTGCATTTTTCATTCTTCTATGTACTTTAATTAGAAGGTACATTATTCCATTGTTTGTCACTATATCGCTTTTTTAACAAATTTCATTGAGCTGTTAATTCTCACAAATTACTCATTAAGTTAGAAAAAGTGTTTAAAAATATGCATTAATGCAGTTTTCTTATTATATGTATGTGCTTAAGGGCTCCATTATTGACCGACTTAGTACGGCAGTAGGATACACTTTGGTCACTTACATGACATGAAATATTGTCTATCAATTATTTAGAAAAAAAATCAAAATTTGTTTTTTCTTTATTTCTTTAAGTACATAGGAATGGAGCTCAAATTCTTAATTTTTCCAATGGGTCAAAGTCCTTGAACTATATGGTTGCTTCAGATTATTACTTCAGATGGCTTTATTGATGGTCTGTTTTGCTTTACTTTACTCATGGATACTAATTTAATTATTATTTTAAAAAGCAAATGACGTCAAATCGAGAACGACGACGAACGAAGGGTAGATGTGTATTTATGTGAAGAGTCAAGTGAAGTGGGCCATGAACACGCAAAATGATAACTCGTAATTTCTGACTACCCGTCTAGATTGCTGGCAAGAGTTGTTGTTTAATGTAGAAAATTGCGAATATGTATTCAGAAATTATCACTTTATCTTATGTAAACAAATTCTGTTATTGAGTTAACAATGTACCTTTTATCTTCAAGGTGCTTCAACGTACAGGTAATGTTGTTTTAATCACTGTTATTAATTAGAATTCTCTTGACATTTTTATTGGTTACCTGATTATGATAATCATAATTAATTATTTGAACCATAGCACCGAGTATTATAGTACCAAGGTGAAAGGAACCCAAATAAACTGCAATTGAATTTTTACTTCTTGGCTTGTTTTGATTTTTATTCTTCTTTTAAAGTGGGTTTCCACTGCGAACAGTGATAACAATCTATTTTCGGCATGAGGAAAGTCAAAGAAATAATTGTAAACACGTGTTTTGGTTCGTTTCAAAACAATGTTATCGAAATACTAACAAATTTCAATCATTATCAGAACCATCTTAAGCGCTCGGGTGTGAACATCTGTCTGGGATCGCTAAAATTAGTTCGTCTATTAGTGCCTACAAAGTCCTAACCCCCGGTAACCTCCCACCCACTTGCATCCTGGAAAAAGGGCCTCAATTGCTAATAAAAAATTGTACTGTAACTATTCAATTTACATGTACACTGTTGTACAGACATACTGTATTTTAATGAACAGTTCTGTATACTACATATGATAAATATTTTATTGACTTCAGTTTATTCTGTAATAACGTAATCATCCTTGTGTTGTGACGAAATTATTTCCTTATCGGTTTGTAAGCTGGTTTGTCGTCTTCGATTTACAACATGAACTAACAAAGAACCCTTTACTCCAATCCACATTTATAGTTAGTGTTTATATTTCGTTAATAAGTGTCTAGTAAGTAAGGGCTAAGAGCGGGCGTACCTATGACTAAACTGTCACACAACTGTTGTGCTATTATCGATTGTTTCGCAGCCAATTCAACTGTTTAGTTGCTCAACTAAATATAATGTAAGCTCGTAGGACTCAAAGCGAGACTAAACAGTTGTGCGATAGTTTAGTTTCAGGCGTCAGCTTTACTATTTTTTTATGCGAATGTTTTGATGGATGTGTTTTACGTAAGGTGGTAAATGTATAACGGGTGAATTGGGGTATAATCCTGAAATACGTTCTCAGGTCATTTAGACAATAAATAACATGTAATGTACGGACTTGTGCACTTTTATTACAAACGATATAAGTATAGTGATGAGTGTACACTGATGAGTGGTTCACGGAACGAAAGGAATCTTGTCATTGGACCATGGGAGTCGGACCATCCATGGAGGGTCGCGTGACCGGTTTCCATACTTACGATGCGGATGTACAGCGCATTGTACATGGCGATTTATAACAAAGAACTGAAGTAATTTACTTAAATCTGCCTTTCTATTCTTTAAATGTAGTTGCCCATTTCGCTTCCTTTGTAGCTTAAGCAGTTTGAACGATTTTGAAGAATGAGGTATTTAATATTCTATTCAAATATTTATATGGGTACAAATAGTATGTTCTTTTACATAGATCAATCACTTTTAAGAGGAGTTAGTATTTATTAGCTACCACAGATTATATAATACTATACTTATATAAGCTACAGGATGAGTTAAGCTTGTGATGATCTACATTGTTAAGGACATAATTTAAGGTACTGAATGTCAGTATCACCAGCCATGCCTTACTTATATAGCATCGTATTTGTTGAAGCTTACTCGTGATTGACGTAAAAAAATAATACCACAAGATCTTTGTACGTCCTGATAAAGACTTGAATAAATAGAACAATCTCCTTATTGTTTGATACGTCTTAAATCTAAATAGGTTGCGTGATAACTGCTATGTACTGTCTTATGTACATAGGAATCATCAAAGATTTCCATTGCGGTATCAAATATTTAAACATATACATACGTAAATGAGAGATAAATAGTAAATATGTATTATTGCTACTCGTTTTCTTAAATTCTGTTCTTAATGTGTAAATGTAAATATGAACATTTGACTTATCTTATGGTCAAAGTCATATAATGAAAGATGAAATTAATTTTATTCAGAAAGTCAAAGACAATCATGGCTTGCGACATTCGAGTATGTATACTTAAAATGTTTGTTTTGTTTCTAAAGGGAAGGTAACCATTTTGGGTAATTTGAGCTTATTTTATCGTTATTTACATTTTCTAGTAATGTTTTTAATCATATAAAAAAAATCTATGACAAATGACAAATAGGTTATGTTGATATGATCTAATACGTACTGTGAATAAGGAATTAAGTATTTAGCGTGTAACATAGTTGTGAGAATTTTATCAGACCACTTCGCGAGTGTTTAAAGAAGGCTTCGCGGGCAAGAGCCGGAAAGTATCTGCAAGTCGCGTTCAGTGTTTCGGAAACATTCATCCGACCACGGTCGCCGGTCAATTAAACATTTCGTCTAATTCCTTGTCGTGTTAGTTTAGATGAGTTCTAACCGACATAATGTACGGATGGTTTAACACTACCGGTGTGAGTACATCTTTATTATTTGCGTTTGGTTTTTTTTATGAGTTCGCTTCTCTGAAGTTTGTTTATAGGTTATATTTAAATCGATGTGTGCATTTTGTGAATAATTCGCAATCTCGTTTATAAAAATAAATTATTTGTTTTTACGAATGGATGTTCTCAGGTTTATTTCTTTTTCTTTTAAATTACGCTTGACTAAATATTTTGTAGATCTGAAAGTTATAAATGAGAAGTTTATTTTAAAAGTAAATAAGTATTCATTCCCCAGTTCATCGTTCGTCATTGATTGATTTTTGCAATTTTAAAGTAATGAATTCAAACATAATTATTATAATTTATTTAGAAACAACAATTTGTGTGGAAGGTACAAAGCCGACATTGCTTATGTTTACGGAAGTTTGTGGACGAGATCACTTAACATCTGTCAACATACTTGATGAGTTGTCTTCCTTGATAAAATATACAAACCATATTTATTTAAATCATTAAAAAAATGCATTATGTTAACAACAGTTGACAAAGATATTGAAACCCGTCTTTCTCGAGGCAAGATTTTAAAAAATTACACATTAAAAAAGCTAAAGTAAGTAAACTTCACTTTATGTACTTGACAACTGAAAAATATTTTTATGCCAACAGGTGCCGCTGAGCCCAATTTTTCTATCAAGGTTTCTGTGACTGGTTACCTTTAGAGTAATTTAATGTTTTAATTACGTTTGCTTGGTGATTTTTAAGCTATATATCGTTTCATATTCTCAATAGCCACATTTCATACATAGCAAATAACTACTCCTTCTTATTGTTAACATTTAGTCTACTGAAAATTATAAATTTCGTCTTATTTAAAGACTAGCTGTTCCCGTGCGGCTTCATCCACATGAAATCATGAAAATTTAATTTGATTGTTACATTTGTTAAATTGTCAATTGCAAATTCCAAAATGCTGTTGACAAACCATAGCAATGCAATGCTGTGATTGCTGACATCCTACGCCACAAAGTAGTGTGTGTTTACGCTTTGTTATAGAAGTACAGATTAGTATAGAAGAGGAAAAATTATTGAATAAATTAGTTCACGACATGACAAGCGTCACGTGACATCCATTAATTGGTTGTTGTTATAAAACCTCTTTGGATACACAGCAGTTTTTAGCTCTTGCTATCTTATCAAATGCGTCAACTAATAGTTTCTTTTATCACTGACCTCCTTAGCCCCACTTAAAGTACATTGAATCTTCTGATACAAGATTGTTAACGCTCCTTGACTCGTTAATGAGATGTTATTTTTCTAAGATATGATTACATTGTCGTCTTAAACTAGTTTACAATAATCTTTACAGTCTTCATATAGAAAAGCGTTACAGTCACCCAGTTTTATTATAAATCATATTATATTCATTTTAAGTTTTATCGTAATTATTGTAGATCTATATTTGATTTTTATATCGGTTCTAAGATTCAGTGATTTTAATTAAAAATTTCATCGAACCTGTACTAAAATGTTTACGACGCAAATTATTTTTGGATTATGACGGGAAATTACGCCATTTACGACTCCCCGCAGTAATTGTTAATTGTCTATTTTAAAGTGATTATGACAGCTTTTAAAAATGATAATCCGTTTAAGTCTGTGTAAAGATAAGTGGTAATACCCAAAAGAAAATGCAATTAATACGTATGTTAAGATATTTCATGTCTATTTTTTAATGAGAATAAGAGAGATGAAATTATTATAGGGATATGATGGTAGTTATTTACAGTAGATTTTTTACTTTAAATAAATGAAGTAGACTCTTGGAGTAGACTCTAATAGGAGTAGAGTAGAGTATGACACCCTTAATTGACTTTTTGTCATGGAAATTTTGCTTAGATACAGTTAACACGAGGTTTTAATAAATAGTAATGCGTCTCAGTGTACACTGGAAACCTTGCGATGTTGTTATCTACCGAGTTAATTAATCATTCTGCATTCGCCAACGTTCCGTACGTTCAGTTGAATGAACGGTTTTTGATAAACACCGAGGAAGGTTGGCAAAGGTGATATATAAATACTACGTCATAATAAACACAGAAAACCAGCGTGAAGTGGAAACAATTCCGCGTTTCGTCTGATGAGTGTGGTGCCGGAGGGCTAATTTTAGTCCCTTTCCCTCTCCATCCTTTTTTTAGAGGAAAGGTTGAGAAGGGAAAGTGGGTTTGATGGTGGAGGAGACGTATAGGAAGGGGAAATGTCCTCTTTATGTGCGTCTCCTCCTTCGTCAACTAAGGCTACCCTTAGTTGACGAAGGAGTTAACGTTGCCTACGCAACGCATCTGCAATTGCTGATGTTTATGGGCAGCGGTCGCTTTCTATTTCGGTGGATTAAGGTGGCTGCTTGCTCGTTTGCCATCTTATATTATATTTATAAAAAAACACATGTTTTACAGAATTTCAAAAATTCCTACTATACAAGATTACTATCTACTTTTATTCAAAACATCACGTTTATAGATATCTAGAAATCTTTGGATTCATGCATGTAGTTTTCGTATGATCCATCTGTATATGAACAATCATAGTCATAATGATAAAAATTGTTTAAAAGATTCTAATTTTCAATCTATAAATGCTCGTTAATTGTTCCTCCAATAATGATACCAGTTAGGAAAACTTGTAACTGGTCAGTGGTTTTATTAATCTATATAATTTCAAACTACATTTTAATGAGTAAAGTCAACGGATGGAAACTTAATTCTGTCAATATTTAGGTGAACGTGTTTTTGTATAATAAAAAGGCTGTTGACATCAAGATCATTGCCCATTTTTGCTTCTATTAACTGCTCTTATACCATGTAACTTTAATGTTACTTTTATACGCAAATGATGAAAATATTTTATCATAGTGCTGTTTAAATTACGTCGCAGCTATTCCTTCGTAATGCACGGTAATGAATACAGCTAATAATCGTAAAATGTGTTAAAGAATTTTCATGTCTCATAAAATATTTAATAAACTATAAGATAATACATAGTATAGTCACGTTAAATAACGTCATTCAGTTTTTCGTTTCATTAGACTTCTTGAATTACCTCGCATTTATCTTCTACAGAAGAATCTCTACTTGTTGTATTTTTACAGCATGTTTGTTAACTTTTTACGATAACATTTGATTTATTTTTATCATAAAGTTGTTAATTACGTTAACCTGTTTAAAAAAAAAAACTTTTGATAAAAATTCTGTTATATCGCAGTATTGTTTTTAAGGTAATGAATCACGAGGAAATCTGTAATCGATGTTCATAAGGGATATTTTTTTAATACGAGCCCACGTATATAAAATGTTCAAATTATTTTTATAAATATTCTATGTTTAAGCACGTACGACTGTTAACACGTACTTGCAAATATGTTAATAGAAGCGTTAAATGAGTCTGTCTCGATCCCACGTCACTTGCTTGTGTTACAAATATAAGGACCCGTGTGAATAATATTAAGTAGATGGAACTTTATTATTCGTGCTAATTTAAGTGTCTTGATGTTAAAGAACTGTTATTGAGATTCTCATTGCTATTAAAAGAAACAGCTTTTATTGTTGGCTAGATGTTGCTCGCGACTTCCACTGATAACGTAGCTTTTTAATGGTGAAAGAATTTTTGAAATCAGCCCTATAGTTTTTGAGTTATTTCAATATATACAAACATGCGAGTCTATCCTTTAAATAATATTAGAATAGAAAGAGATGGATGGATTGCGTAAAAAGTGACATGATCAAAAAGGGAGTGATGACTGTGACGTATGAAATGATAGAGTTATGTAGAGGACAAAAACCTGTTGTGCCGACAGTGCGGGAGTACTATAAGGAGAAAGATGATGATGATAGAAACGGTTCTGTATGATCTATTAATTGTACAAGCTAAACTAAACTCGTGTAGTCTTGCTAACTTCGGCCCGACCTATAAGACCTACCACTCTTCGTTGAGGAGTGTCTTGAAACAGTCGCATGGGCAATTATTTTTACTGATATTTTTCTAGAAAAATCTTAGTATAACCTTGTCAAATCAATACGTGTACAGATTTGTATTTGTCATCCTTATTTTGGTCCTTAGTATTGTACTTTGTACGGTCTTAAGTACTTGTTAAGTTATACACGTACCAACTTATAACACAAGGTATCGACCTTAAATGCATTCTGTGCGGGACTTTGTATTAAAATATATATTATATTTAAACTTTTTAAAAAGTAACTATGTTTTTTCTAATAAGTAGGTACTACACTTTTACAATTTTTACCACAGAGTTTTAGCTAATAAACTTATTGTAAAGGTTAACGGCCTATTAACGTCGGTATATTTAGATTGAAATGTAAAAATATTTTCGCCGGTCAAAACATCAAGTCTAGAATGTTAAAGCTACTATTTTACATTGTATCGAATATATTTATTTGTAATATGTGGCAACCGGTTTTATAAAACGTCTGTTTTCACGATACTCTTTCTCGGATATTTGTAGTGTCTTGATAGTGTTTGCTGACTGCTCACACGACTCGAATACACAAGCAACGACTGTCACCTCAGGTAAGTTAGGTTATGAAGACGCGCGACAGTGTGTTGTTGCTTTATTAAAAAATTAGATCAACACGGAACGTATTGTGTAGTGAAATAACAAATAAGGTTACAATATGAGTGCCTAACGCGACAGATTTATCTTAATTATGTCTAGTGCACAAGTTAATAACAAACCAGTATCGCGTTGACATTAATGGAGTGCTCGTGTGTGATAGTGACTGGCCGAGATTTTTTTTAAATCACCCGCGTAATTTCTCATTTGGAAATTCGTGTTGTGTTCGAAATTTAAATTTGTGTTGAGTGTAATGGAGTTCCAGTACTATGGTAACTTTGACCGTCAGCCAATACGGAGGATCCCGGATCAGCCGTGGTGGGATGAGGAGGACACGCTAACGGACCGCCGGCTTAACGGTAAGCCTAATAAGTCCGTTCTAATACAATATTTTTTAAAATAAAACTCAAATATTGTATGTAACGTATAATAATTTATTTTTTAATTGTTTAATTTGATTAAACTTCCTAGACTAGAAGCTATCAGGTTGTCGTTTTGACGCATTTTTTAAACATAAAATATTTTTTTATAGAGTACAAATTGAAAGTCACCTAATGTATAGTCAGCTAATTATAATTTATCACATCTATGTCATAAGTCAACATTTATGGCAAGATAAAATTTATAAACATAGCATATATTATGATTTGAGATAGCAAAGACGTGTGACATAATTTTTACGAAGATATTATTTTTTTACATCTTTTCTTTGACACGAAAGTCACTTGAAACTGAATAAAAAATATTTCTAAATGAATAATGAAAGCCCTGTAATTCCGAGTGTATTTTATAGGTTTTGTTATACAGAACAATAAAATATACAGTCACGAAGAGAATAATTATATTATTCACACGATAACTATTTATCAGTACATGCTAAGTTAATAATAACAATTTTCTCAACGAATGCACGTAAACAAAGCTTCGGAAACGTTTCACCTCGGTCAATGAATTCTTACACATATCTCAATTTGAACAATAACGTTAATACAATATGCCACGGAATTGCTAAAACTATAACTGTAACTGTTACAATAACTGTTATTTATTCTTGTTACTTTAACGTTACGGATTCAAATCAACGACCGTAATTATTCGCTGTCCGTAATCTAAACCATTAAACTAATGGCGCTTGACATTTTTACATTTATTTCTATCTATGTTATTATTTTATTACACATATAAATATCATTTTCCTTAAGTTATATAACCTCTAACCTTTAGACAGAGGTGGAAGCGATGTTTTTTGTATCAACTAATATTTTTCTAAAGATTATTTTATTATTGAGGAGTCGATTGACTGATCTACTCATACTATAAGATTTGTAAACAGCAATATTTGTCACTAATTTTTAATTTATAAAATCGAAATTGAAAAAAAAAAATTAATTCCGATATGTATTAATGTATTATAGACTACTTGTAATAAAAAATGGAAGATATCATTGGAAATATCTAAAATAATACAAAAAGCACAGTCACTTTTCCGTTGTAGTAACCCGAAAAGTAGTATGCACACAGATACTTAGATTGCATAGAAAATTAACCGCTCTAAGCTTTTCTAAATTGTGGTATAATTAACGGATATTAACTAATTCGGTATACAGGAAACGGAATCCATAACAATTTCCATTGATAAATTACAACTGAGCTATTGCCATGTTTTACTAAACTGTTCAATAGCGCTTTTGCACTTTAAAATCTATACTATTATAAAGCGTAAACATACACTTATTTGTTGCCTAAGATGTCAGCAATCATATTTTTGAACAATTATTTTTTTAATAAAAAGCCGTACACTTACGTCAAGCTTTAGACTATATATTTTCACGCCATTAAACTTAGGGATAATTAATTTGGATAAAAACCCTAATGTGGAAAAGAGACCAAAAGTTGCTGTCAACAGCAAGGTTGCCATGGTTTGTCATAACGTCATATCACTTTGATATCGGCAATTGATAATTTGACACATGTAAACAACGAAATAAAATTTTCATAATTTTATGCGAATGAAGTCGCACGGGAACAGGTAGTATAGTTATAAAAAAATGCTCTTACGCTTATGACGATTAAATCTATATCTATTCTAATACTATTATAAAGGGGGCCGATTTTAAAAACTCTTCGAAAAACATTCATCTATAGACAGGTAATTTATCTGTGAGTAACATATGCTATATTTTTTTAATTTCACGCAGACGTCGTTGCGAGCAATAGCTATTAGATAATGAGATAGATGGTTCTAAATATATGAAACTTAAATTAAAAATATAATAGTATAGTTAGCTTTTAATTTTCTTTTCAAGCCTTTAAAACTCTATCTCATTATCTAATGTGTAGTCGACGTAAGTATAAAAGCGGTTTGCACCTATATGCCTGTCTAGACGGCACGGGAGACCAGGAAGAATCGATTCCTAAAGGATAATTTTAGAACACTTTAAATTGCTACTCTACAACAAGTTGTCAGTTCAGTTTTGTGGCTCTTTTCTGTTGTTTACATCTATCTCTACCTACTATTAATTGTATTGCTTAATTACTTATCAGTAACTTTACTGTTATAGTTGATGTTTACTCACATTACTGTCATGTCTGAAGAGTCTGGAGAAACCTTAATGTTGCTTAGACACTAAATCCGCCCAAACATAAAATTTGGTCCCAATCTGTATGGTGAATACAGCACTCTTTTAAATCAGGCAAAAATATCAAAGTACATTATGCAGATTCAATCTAACTATAAAACCATAATATCGGTTTATTTTCCACGCAAGCTATAAAAATCAATCCACACAGGCGATAAACAAGTCGTTAATTGTACAATTAATAATTGACTGCAATCTAAACTTTTGCTATTAGACAAATAACACTTCTTATTTTATTCCATTATTCCACAAAACACGTATGTTTTTAGATAGCAAAAGGTGGCAAACGAGTATACAGCTACTTGAATTTGCCAAAGCAGCAAAGTGACAGACCATAGACATTGCATTTTTATTAATATCTTGAATTAATTAAAATATCATAACTAATTAACTTTTTTTCGTTTACAACTGTGTTTATTTTATGTTTATGTTCGTATTTAGGACACTGGTCTTTGATGAAATAGTAATAGAAGACATATGATTCATTCAAATTATTTTTATCATTTCCTCTTTACTTAAAAACTAGCTATAGCTCGCTACATCGTCCGCGTGAAATTAAAAAAGTAATAAAAAACATAGCCCATGTTATTCATTGATAACGTAGCTTTTTAATGGTGAAAGAATTTTTGAGTTATCCCAATACATACAAAAATCCACATATAGGAATCTTCCCACTTTATAATATTAGTATACCTAGATGTCACTTGCAGTTAATCGAAAACCTCGATTGCCCCATATTTAATTTAAATATTCTTAGTAGAAATGCGCTAGAAATTTCAATTAATATATTCTCCCGATCGAAACAAATATATCACAGTTGCCCAGATCTTTTAATTGAATCGTCTGCAATCCACAAGTCTACAGAGCGTCCAATTTCAATCAGGATCTGTGTAACACGAAGCCTCATCCTAATACGTCATATATTCTTTTTAAACCGCCCATTCTTCCCTATTTCATTGTATGAATATGAAGGATCAAATGCGATTTATGTTATTCCAATACTATTTCATTTAACCTATCTACAGGGTAAGGGATTCCAACGTATTTCTTAATAGGATTTTTATTTATAATTGATTTACTCATAATTGCTAATAGCTAATCGGACAAAACCTACAATGACTTATCAACTGCTAACAAAACGTTAAACAAATAAAAAAATATTGTATATAATTGTGAAGATAATTAAGTTTTGTAAATAATTATTTTTATTTGTAAAGGTAATTTTAAACCGTTTACAGAAATTTTTTTCTAAGCCAAAGTGCACAAACGGCTATTTTTAACAAAAACGCGTACGTACTCGTATTATATTTGGGATGTATATTTCAACGTTTCCATTAGGATACAAAAAGGACTCTTTTTATTACTAGAAACTGCAGTTTCTCGTTTGGACCAGTTTTTTTTTGTATCATTTTTATTCAAAATACCTAAGTTTTGAGTAGCATGAAATGTGGAATTTATGCAAAAAGCAAATACATTTTTTTGCAACGTTTAAGTTCAAATATTGTTTTTTTGCTTTATTAATCGGATATCGAAACTAAGACAGCATAATTTCTCTCGTTTAAAACAGGCGTCAATACAACTAAAGAGTAAACAATATGTTACTTATGGTACAGAACAACAATGTTTAAGAAAATAGAGCTTGTTTATATTTAACAAAGCATTCACTACATTCTATATTTCACTACGTAAATATTCACTGCAATTCCTCACGACTGTCTAATGTTGCGATATAACAAGGGACAGGCGTGACATTGTTAACATTTACAACGCAAAGATTGTGCAGTATGTGGGTTGTTTGAATTGATTGTAATGTGCACGTGAGATTTACAATCATAAAGTCGACGTACACGTGACCATTGAAGAAAACGAGCTGAATCACGTGAAAAGTTCACTTGTTTATACCAATTGCATTATAAACATCGTCACATACAATCAAGACGCATAATTGATATTTTATTTACATATTTATCTATATTTATGATTATTATCTTCATATTTACATGCTATTCTGGTTCCCTTTGATATTTTGTTCTTAAATTTATTTTCTTTGTTATAGGTAAGTGGAGTGACAGAATATGTGACGTATCGAACACCACCGAGCATTCGAAGCATCGATGACGAAAATGAAGGCAGAGGCTCCACGTTGCCTCCGCCACAGCTGCATGTCTGTCAGATTGGTGCGTTAATTTTTAACTAATATGATTGACATATCTGTTCATAATCTGTTCCGTTACGTTGTCCCTTTCATTATATTTGTAAAAATAGAGACGACAATGTTATGTTGGACCGCAAACCCCTAGTGATTCGCCGGGGAAGTATACACGCGAACAAATAATATTATAGGTAGTTAAAGTTCGGAAATGCAGGATAATAATAAAACAATTTCGTTAGCAGCCAATATTCTATGATTACGAAATATTTGCTGGCTGATATGACATGTTACAATACCAGTTCATTAATATGTGAAAAACGAGTATCAACAAGAAAGTCAGCCTTATCACAAGACTCGTTTTCACCATCCTGTTTAACTAATTCCATCTGCAGTATACGCATAAAACACTTTCTGATTACGTTTTTATTTATGAGATTGAAAGTTTTGAACTCGGTTTCAATAAAAGTTCTCGAAGGCGTCACAACGCTAACAAAGCCGGAAGCGAATATATTGTATTTTGTTTGTGTGGTATACAAATATTGCCTTCGGATCGTCCAATATCGCGTTG